TCCCCCAGTCAGAAACTTGTGCAGAAATTGCAGAACACTATTTTTTAATCGTTCTCTCCCATTTTTTCATTAATCGTCATCCCGCATTGCTGCTCGCCCCCGTCGGAGTCGAAGGCGTCCGCCGACGCACCGCCCGGAAGGCCCCGTCCGAGGTCGCCTTCGCTCGGCAGAGGGAAAGAAGCACACACAGACACAAGTAATCGTCGATTCCCCAGAACATATGGGAAAATAGGGGAAGTGGGGGGAAGAAAAAGACCCAGAAAATATGGGAAAGTATGGGGGGATCCTGTTATTTGTGTGTATTTACTTGTGTGTCCTTGGGCCCCTTGATTCACGACTCTTTGCCGCCAGCCTGGCCATCTCGTCCTTCGGCTGCTGCTCCAGCTGCTCGAACTTCTCCGTGGCATCACCAGACATCTGCTCGACCGCTTGTCGCAGTTCACCCTGCAGCCGACTACGACGCTCCTCAGACTCCTTCTTGTCAGCCTCAGACAGGTCATGCGCCGACGCGTCGATGGACACGTGAGAGATGTTGACCTCCTCCCCCGCGAGAATGAACTCGATCGACAAGCCTGGAAGAACTGATGCAGAGGGCTTGGGCGCCACCTGCGAACGCAGCTGCTCCACCAACCTCTCATGAGACGTCTCCGCTCCACGCACCTCGTGAGACAAGGACTTGACGCGACCGCGATGATCCTCGAGTAAAGAGGCCGTCGACTCATAGGCCCCGACAGCCCTTTACAACCTGCCCTCGAGAGCATGCATGTCGTGGAACGCCCGGTTGACTTGCTGCTGTAAAGGGGAAGCTTGGCGATGACTCGCAATATCCGCCTCCTTCTTGGCAGCGAGCTCCTTGTTCTTGGCCACGCCTTCGGTGTCGCCACGGCAACAAGCTGCGCGCGCAACTTCTTAAGCGTCTCAACCTTGCTCTCAGGGGTGACCGGGGCATGGTGTCCGCCCGACTGACGCCCGCCGCCGTGATGGGGCCCGCCACCACCGCCAACCATGAACAGAGGGCCAGGACGAGCAGGAAGCAGCACAGGACCATGCGCGGGGGCAGACCACTGTCCAGGCGCGACTGGATTGGCCCAGACCCCGCTCGGAAGACGCGGGGGCCCGTACCCTGGAGCGAAACGGCAAGACCAGCAGACTTTGCATTGCTGCCAGGACGCTCTGTTTTCTTGCACCCGCAGGAAGCACAGCCAATTGCCCCCTTGAGCACGCGGCTGCTGGCCTCCCTGAGCATGCGGATGCGGATGCAACCAAGGCACTTGGCCCCAGTCGCGAGGGCTGGGGGCCGCAGGCGCCATGGCAGCGAACCGAATCGACAAACCTTCCCTGCGTTGACCTCAAAGACTCAAAGAAGCCCTCAAGTGAGCACAGACGAGACTCTGGTACAACCCAGGGAACAATCTGGCGACCTGGGCCAGAAAGGCACTTGAGAAGAGGAGGAGGAAGAGAAGGAGGAGGGGAAAGAGGAGGAGGAGAATTGTGACGAGGATGAGGAGGAGGAAGAAGAGAAGGAGCAGGAGGAGGAGGAGGAAGAGGAGGAGCAGGAAGAGGAGGAAGTGGAGGAGGAGGAGGAGGAGCTGGAAGAGGAGCATGATGATGATGATGATGATGCTGATGATGATGCTGCTGATGATGATGATGCTGATGATGATGATGCTGCTGCTGCTGATGATGATGCTGATGCTGATGATGCTGATGCTGATGCTGCTGCTGATGATGATGCTGATGCTGATGATGCTGATGCGGATGCGGATGCGGATGCTGCTACTGCTGATGATGCTGATGATGATATTGATGCTGATGCTGATGCTGATGATTGATGCTGCTGATGATGATGATGCTGATGATGATGATGATGATGATGATGATGATGATGATAATGCTGATGCTGATGCTGATGCTGATGCTGCTGATGATGATGATGATGATGATGATGATGATGATGATGATGATGATGATGAATTGGAGGCGGAGGAGGAGGAGGAGGAGGAGGAAAAAGGAAGATGACGACGAGGAGGAGGAGGAGCAGGAGGAGGAGGAAGAGGAGGAGGAGGAGGAGGAGGGAGGAGGAGGAAGAGGAGGATGAGGATGAGGAGGAGGAGGAGGAGGAGGAGGAGGAGGAGAGGAGAGGAGGAGGAGGAGGAGGAAGAGGAAGAGGACGAGAAGGTCTAGGAGGAGGAAGAAGAGGAGGAGGAGGAGGAGGACGAAGAAGAAGAAGAAGAGAACGAGGAAGAGGAGGAGGGTGAGGAGGAGATGGAGGAGGAAGAGGAGGAGGAGGAGAAGGAGGAGGAGGAGGAGGAGGAGGAGGAGGAGCCTCGCCCCTCCGCCTGGGAGAAGGACAGCGCGCTCTCCGTCCCCGGTGCCGCGACGAACGACACGGGATTGATCTCGAGGGAGAGAACACGGCATAAGCATATCCTTCTGGCGCTCCGCGCGGATTTCTCGGATCCGCGCTGGGCCCCCCCCCTCCCCGGCGGCGTCTCCGCCGCCCCTGGCGGGCGCCAGGGAGGAGGGTCCAGCGTGGATCCAAGAAACCCGCGCGGAGCGCTCAAGGTTTGCATGTTTATGCCGTTCTTTCTTCTTCCTCCGTGATCGTCGCGCCCCCGCGAGCGACCTGGGCAGTTCGTGGCTCGTCCTTCAGGGTCCACCCCACTTCCTGGCCCATGTTCTGGGGCCCCATCTGGTTCCGACACCCCGGCCGCCTCCAGCGGTCGGGGACTTTGGCCTCTCGTGCCGTTCCGCCGGTTTGGGCCCACCACGCCTCGGCGCGACACGCTGCCCACGTCCCCACCCCCCGGGCCTCAAGTCCCGAGCCTTTTCCTGGCCTCCCGCCCCGCGGAGCGGAGCGGCACGTTGCCCGCTCGCAGGGCGCAGCGTATCGCCGGGCTCGCCGCCGCGACGTGTTCAGCAAAGCTTCTCAACCGTGTGCCCATCTTCTCGGGTCTAGGCCTCCCACTCCCAGATGAGGTCCGAGTAGTTGGGGTCGGAGGCTCGCGCCGCATCGGCGATGCGGCTCGATGCGAAGCCCGCTTTCCTCCACGCCGGCGTCACCAATTCTGCGCCGACTTCGCGGATGCATCGCCGATACATTGCCAATGCATTGGCGATGCGAGGCGATCCTCCGATCCCATGTACTCGGACCCCATCTGGGAGGCTTCTTTCGGGAGGGGAAAAAACACACAGACACAATTAATCGTCGATTCACCAGAAATATGGGAAAATATGGGAAGTCGGGGGGAAGACAGAAACCCAGAAAATATGGGAAACTATGGGACATATTTTTATGTGTGTGTATTTCTTTGTGTGTCCTGGGGCTCCTTCATTCTTGTGGCAACTCAGCCCGACCAGCCCACCTTCCTAGGGTGGGGATCGGCCCTGCGCAGCCCGACGGAAAGGGCATACACTGACACCCCCACCTGGGTGGGGAAGTCGGCCAGTGGGACCAAGTGGAGCGATGCTCAGAGATGGGTGACACGATGCTCAGAGGTCGAGTAGGAGATCGACTGCATACTTCATTTGCCCTAAATGTGCTGTTTTTCGCCGAATGTACGGACAACGAAGATCCTGTTGCGTAGATCTACGAGCATGATCTGTGCCGCCGCGCCGTTTGTTCCGACGCGCCGCCTTCCGTCTGGGGGAGGGCGCCGCGGCCATTAGGGCAAACGCCGCCTCGGACGTGGTTGGTTTGCCGTAGGGTTTGCCAGGGTGCCGTCTGCGACTCCTGGGGCGCGGGACGCAGGGCTGCCCGTGAGCTTGTCGTGGTGTCGGCTTTGTTCCCGTGGGCGCGTCGAGAGCAAGCGACGCAGCGACACGTAAGTACTTTTCGTAGAGTCGAGGAGAACGCAATTCTGGGTACATCAAATTCTGTACCCTCGACGGAGAAGGCTTGGGGGGCTTGAACTAGTTGGGGCCCCAGAGAATTGGTCAGGAGAGAGGAGGAAGCCAAATCCGCGCACCATCGGTCCCCTGACCCCTCCCTAGGTCCATCTGGTGCCGTTTTTCATTCCGTATCCGTGTTTCACCATCCCGCGGGGCCCGGAAACGGCCCCTGGAGGCGGGAAAAAGGGGGAACACCTTCCCGACCCCAGCGCCTCGAACTGGCTCCGCCAGTGCTGAGCCACATCGGGCCCCCAGACTCAAGAGTGAAAGAAAGACCTACACATCGTTCGTTTCTTATTATTCGAGAGTTCTTTGAGTTAATTGGGGCCAAGATCCTTTCATTTATAATTATTCTATCCTGGGCCTCTTCCTGGCCACTAGTGGGCCAGGAACAATTAGTAACGAGCACAATTAGAAATGAGCACGACTAGAAATGAACGACGTGTACACATACTTGAACCCACGCTAGTTACGAGAGTACGCATCGCGCGAACGTTCGTATCACGAGGCTGGTCTCGCGGACTGGAAGGCCGGATTCATGTACGTGGTTGGGCGCGTGCGTCGCTCGTGGGCTCCCTGCCCCCGAGATCCTACGTAGCGAAACAAAATGCAGCATCGTAAAGCATCACGCCCAGAGCCCTAGACACCATCTTTCTGCTTCAGTTGTTCGAGCCAGACCGGTCTGTGAGGGTTCCGGGGTCCGAAACCCGGCGAAAACGCCTTCCTCGAACAACAATTGAATGTGAGGACCTCAGGGTTTGTGGGCTCCCTACAGATCGACTGCACGTAAGAGTGACCCTTCGCAGGAGTGACCTTTGGTGCGGGCTCACCGAAGCCTTCGCGATCGCTGAGCCCCATGCGGTAGCAGCGGCCTGCCCGCTTGGGCTTGGCCTCGAGCCTTCCAACCAAATGGCGCGCACCGAAGGTCACTCTTACCCAGGGCCGCTCTTGCGTCTGGCCGAGCAGACGATTCCAGTCTGCAAGTAGTCGATCTCCTGCGCGAAGCGGAGGAGGCCGATCCTCCTCCTCCTCCTCCTCCTCCTCCTCCTCCTCCTCCTCCTCCTCCTCCCCGTCCTCCTCCTCCTCCTCCGCCTCCGCCTCGTCCGGAGGAGGCCGAGGGCCACGGCGGGGCCGCGTGACCGCTCGGCTCCCCGCGGGGCGCAGCCCGCTCGCCTCGCCCGTGCCCCCCCCCCCCCTGCCTCGGGCGCCGCGCGCCCCAGGGCGCCCCGCCCTCGGAGGGGGGGAGGGGCGTCGGCGCCTCGCCCTTTGGAGAGCTCCCCGGACAGGATCGCGCCGTGAAGGGAGGAGGGACGGATGTTTTTCCCCGTGTTCGGCCCTGGGGGGCCCTCGTAGTGTGGGGTCGATGTTTCAGCATCTGCTTGATTGTGCTTAGGCTGCGTTTAAGGTTTCGTGCAAATGCGCCTGTAGGAGGACACGCCCGACCTAAGGCTCGAGACGAAGAGCCGGTCCAGGGGACAGGGTCGGGAGCCCAAAATGTCGCATCTCTGGGCCCGCGTCACCACGGCCAGATTCTGGTCGAGGTTCTGGCCAGAAGGCGCCCCAGGAGAGGTCCGTGGCGCATCTGCTGGCCCCCCCCAACGTATGTTGACAGATCCGCCAGGGAGGTGTTTCGTCGTTCTTGGCCTTTGGGGGCCCTTGCCGGGCCCCAGGGGCCGCCGAAGAGCGACTTCTTGGGGTGCAGAGCTGGCCCCAGGGAAGGGGTCGGGATGTCCAAGGGGGCCCCGTAGGGAGGAAAGCAGTGCGCCGGATCGCGGGGGCCTCCGTTCCTCTCTCCCCCTCTCCTCCTTGTTTCCCTCCTCTCCTCTCCGCCCCTCCCCCCCTCCTTCTGCCCCGATCTATCCGATCCTCCCCTTTTGACTCTTGGCCGCGAAGCCGGCGCCACAGGCGTCTCTGGGACCTCCGTTCCTCTCTCCCCCCTCTCATCCCCGTTTCCCATCCTTTCTTCTCCGCCCCTCCTCCACCCCGATCTGTCCGACCCCCCCCCCTTGGCGAGGCCGGCACCACGAACATCTCTGTGGCCTCCGTTCCTGTCTCCACCAAGTCCCAGTTTTCCCTCCTCTCCTCGCCGCCTCTCCCACCCTCCTTCCGCCAAAAGCTATCTGCCCCCCCCCCCCCGCCCCCTGACCGCGAAGCCGGCGCCAGGAACGCCTGTGCCACACGTGTACAGGAGAGAGTCTGGCGACATCACCCATGTGCGCGAGTGGAGCGACAGAGATGTTTTGCAGCTCCTTCTGCTCCTTCTCTGGCTCGGTTCCTTCCTACGCCTCTTCCTCTCTCTCTCTCTTTCCCTTGGGGTGGTGTCAGCTCAGTAGGGACGGCTTTCGCATCTCACCCTTGCCGGTGACCAGGCTCTTATTGCCAAATTTGAGGGCCACTGACCAATTACGCAAGGCGTTTCAGAAACAACCTCGCCTTCGAGGTATCGAAAGGTTGCTCTCTCTGCCTCAGTGGAATTCGGCGGAAGCGCGGCTGAAGCTGGCGAGCGTAAAGCGGGGGCGGTGCCGCCGGCAGAAGGTCGGCCGAAGTTGGCAGAAGTAAGCATCGGCCTTTCAAGAGATGAGCGACGGAAAAACGCGGGTCCGATTGCGCTGACATTCGCGCGTACGCTGCCCGCGTAAGGTCGCGCGTGAGCGCCTTCTTCTTTTTCACGCGGTGTGTCACGCTGACGGCCCGCGTGAGCCACCGTGTAATTTCAGTCGCTATGCGCTACGTCATCGCGGCTAAAACCCTTTTCGTCTTCGGAGAGGCCTGTACGGCCGCCTCCCTCGGAGTTCGTTCGTTGGAAGGAAGGGGCAGTGGTCAGAGCGGGCGCCCTTGCCATCGCGGCCTAACCCTGCCACCTGCTCGCCCTTGGAGACCCGTCGACAGAGGCGCCAGTTCTCTTGTTCGATCGTTTTTTTCTTCGTCGCTCAGATGCACATTTCCCCGCGCCGTTTGTCCCGGATTTTTTTGATTTGCGCGCGGGTGATCGTCTGCCGAACACTCCTGCCCGTGGCGCCGAAACGACGAGCGAGGGGCCCGAAGAAGGGCCGAAAGAAGCGAGGGACGGACCAGGACCCGAACAGAGCCGAGCGAGGGACCGACCCGAGCAAACAGGGACAACGAAAAATCGAGGGCCCGAAACAAGCGATGCTGGCAAGACTGGCGAGACAATTTGAAGCCCGCGTCCTGGCTCCTGGGGGCCTGGGCACCAGGGCAAGCGCCGCCTCGGGCGCGGTGGGCTCGCCGTGGGCTTGCCTCTGTGCCGGCTTCGCCTGCCTTGGGCACGGGACGCAGCACCTGCCGTGGGTTTGCCGTGGTGTCGGCGTCGTCCGCGTGGGCGCGTCGAGGACGCGGCGCGGCACCGCACGGGCGCCGACCGAAGATCCAGCCGATGTGAATCGCATGGGAAATGCCGACGGCCCGCGTAAGCCACCGCGTAAGGTCGCTATGTTCAAGTCTGAAAAGATGGTGACGATCTTTTCTAGTCAAGTACAACTTTTACATTTTTGAATATTGTAGAATCTTCGCCCAAAGTCCGCCTGTAGGAGGATTTGCCCGACCTAACGCTATGTGCTGTGTCATCGTGCGTAATACTCTTCTCTCCTCCGTCGGTCGGATGCACACGGGCGCCGGCCGAAGCTCCAGTCGGTGTGAAGCACCTCGGAGGCGCCGCGGTCGGCGTTGTTTCGCGGGAGCGCGCCGAGCTCGCCCAGAGCTGGGGGCCCCGGCGAGGGGCCCGAAAGCCTCCGCATGCTCCCCGCCGGCGCCCCTGCGAGCAGCGCCGGCGTCGAGAGTTTCTGCTCGCGCACACGCGAGGCGTTCCAGAGAGGTCCATGGCCTTTGAGGATCGAAGGGGTTGCCATCCCTTCCTCGGCGGAAGGCGGCGGAAGGTCGGCGGAAGGCGGCGGACGTCAAAGATGCGCCCCCAAGAGATGGACACTTTTTGTTGGGACCAGGGTTTCCGGAATCGGTCACATGGTCATCTGCGCACAAGAAAGGGGGGTCAAACGGGGTCGTTTGCGCCGACATTGGCGCGCAAGTTGCCCGCGTGAGGTGGCGCATCATCGCCCGCGGTTCCAATGCAGCGTGCTGTGCAGGCGGCCCTTGCTGATCGTCGCTCGCATGGTTTTATCTAGGGTCTCCGGACGGAGTCGTAACGATTTGACTCCTGCGGGTCTCGCTGCTCAGGCAAGGATCAGTGCTCCTAGCGCAAGGCGCAAGCAAGCGTCGCGACCTTCAGCCCGAGTGGGCGTGCGACCGTCGGAGACGTCGTGTCTGCCGAGGTCCTGGATGGCAGGAGAGCGCCTGGCACCTCACGGTACAGCGATATCGCTCTCCAGCGGCAAAGAGATGGCCACTCACACGGAGGCGGCGCGCGTCATGTTTTCGTGCCATGCAGTCGGCGTCCGCAGCTCGGCCCGTAGACGGGCCAGCGGCGATGTAGGTGACGGCGACATGTAGGTTTCGGTAGTGTGGGGGCGCGTAGCTCGCGCTTTCCTACAACTCGCTGCGTCGTGTTCGCTCGATCCATTCGCAGATTGGAGATACAGGAAAACGTGGTTCGTGATTCCGTAGAAATCGGTTCCCGGCCTCACCGTTATAGTAGGCAGCATCGCCGTTGGCCCAGCTTTGGTCGGCATCACTCTGCCGAGAAGCCCCTGGCGCCGTGCAGCGCAACGGTCACCAGCTGCACGTCGTGGGCGACGGGGAGTCGTGGACGCCACCGCGCGGCGGCGCGGGTGCGGCTGCTAGCCCTGCGCAGCGCGCAGTGGCACAGTGTGCGCGCAGAGTGCTCCGGCGACGGCGCGGCCCTGCGGAGACGCCGGCAGAACAGACGAATGCACCACCTACAATCGATCGGCCTCCCCTCGGCGGCACCCCAATACTATGTGTGCGTCGCTCCCCCTCCAGGGGCGACATGCGCACCGAGAAATTCCCCAATCGGAGCTTGCCTCTGTAGGGGTCCTAGCGGATTCATATGGCTAGGTGAGCTGGGCCGCCGATTTCGGTGGCGGGGCCTGGTGCCCGGGTGCCCAGGTGCCCAGGAGCCCGGGTGCCCGGATGCCCGGGGGTGCCCGGATACCCGGGTGCCCTGGTGCCTTGGTGCCTGGGTGCCCGGGTACCCGGGTGCCCAGGTGCCCAGGTGCCCAGGTGCCCGATGGCATTATAGCCCTATAGCCCGATAGCCTTATATTATTATAGCCCTATAGCCCCATAGCCATATAGTCCTATAGCCCCAATAACCTTATTGCCCTATAATCAAATAGCCCTATAGCCCTATAGCCCTATAGCCTTATAGCCTTATAGCCCTATAGCTCTGTAGCCCTATAGCCCTGTGGCCCTATAGACCTATAGCCCCATAGCCCTATAGCTCTATAGCCCCAATAGCCCGATTGCACTATAACCAAATAGCCCCATATTCATACAGCCTTATTGCCATATAACCCTATAGCTCTGTAGCCCTATAGCCCTATGGCCCAGCCCTGTAGCCCAATAGCCCTTTAGCCCTAAAGCCCTATAGCACTAATAGCCCTATAGCACTATAGCCCTACAGACCTTAGCCCTATAGCCTATAGGCCTAGAAACATATGATTGGGTTTTTCTTCGGTATCATCTTACAGTATATGCGTCGTGGAGGGCATTTTCTGGCCGTACCGCTCGGGAAACTACATATTACAAAATGGGTCTACTATATGTTCGGGTCGGACGCACGCCTTCGAGGAGGACACATAGTACTAGTATTTCCGTGTGCGTCCCATCCCCAGACCACGTCGAGTCGTGGAACAAACGACGGGAGGTTTTTGTCCCGTGATTTCCAGCCTAAGACGCCACCTACATTCGATCAGCTTCCCCAGACCATGTCGAGCCGTGGAATAAAACACTAAAGGAGGTTTCTTCCCGTTCTTTTCAGCCTAAGCCGGCACTCACATTCGATCAGTCTCCCCAGGCCCCCCCTCGAGCTGTGAGACAAAAGCATGACGGGAGTTTTGTTGTCAGTATTTTCAGCCTCGAGGAGCCTTTGTTTGGCTTCAGGATCGGCAAACAAGGACTCAGGATAGAAACAAGGGTCATGGGGAATGGAAAATGGGTCGAGACCTCTGGGGGTCGAAGTCATGAACAAATCGTGACCTCAGCTGCCTCGATACGCCCGCCTTGATACGCAACACGTGCCGTGCCCAGCACGTCCGTGTCAGTACGCTGCGTGCTGGCTCAACGTACTGGCCCACGTTTTGGCCATTCGACACGTGCCGTGCCCAACACGTCCGTGTCGATACGCTGCGTGCTGGCTCAGAGTATTGACCCACGTTTTAGCTACGCAACACGCACGGTTTAGCTGCGCAACACGCGCCGTGTCCAACACGTCTCTGTTGATACGCTGCGCGCTGGCTCAACATAGTGGGCCACGGTTTAGCGAACTCGTCGCGCCAGATCTCCGCTTCAGTCCACGTGTTGAGCCCCGTGTCCAGTACGCTGCGTACACCTTAGGCGATGCTTAAGAAAACCCAAGTTTTCGGCCAGAGTCTCGATTATTCTTAATGTTTCAATGTAAATCCTAACATTTGAATAGACATTATGGGTCTGATTTCAAATTCTGAGACTATGAATTTCTTAACCCATGATTTCTAAAGCATTTCGCAGGGTGTATTGCGTGTTACGCATCGGGACGCCAAGACCACGGCGTCGGCGGTCTGGGCCTGCGGTCGCTTTCCAGGCTGCACGTCGACCCGCTCGACCCGATGCGGTATCGGTCCTGGCCAGTCCGGTGCGATTCGGTTTCGACTCGGCGGCGGTCCGTTGTGGCCCGGTGCCTGCGTCGCGCTGTTGTGCGTCCAGCCGGGCAAATGATTGAGAATCTTTCTCCCAGACATCGGGGCCAGCGTTTCTCAACCAGCTTGGCCGGAAGGCCGCCTCAGTTTTTTGGTCGCGGTCGAGACTTTTGGGAAGCTGGCCCAGATTTCTTGAATGATATTTTTCTTGATCGTAACTCTGGCTGTCACCATGCGGCTCGATCCGACGCGGGTTCCGACAGGGCTCGAGCCAGACGGTGCCTTTGGCAATTTCGTGGGCCGGTTTCGTTTTGCTTCCGTCTCGCAGCAGAGGCAGAGCGCAGACAGACCGAAGGACAGCGAGCACAGCACGAAAACGAAACACGCTGCTTAGCTCGAGCCATGGGTACCTCCTCCTCCTCCGTTTCCTCTTCCTTTTCCTCCACCTCCTCCTCCTCCTCCTCCT